TATACAACCCAGTTGTGCAATATAAGCCCTATCTCTCTTAGGATTCTGAGATCTTCATTCAGTACAGTGTAAATCCCCTTATTTTTCAGGCTACTTGCATGATTGGGCATATTGCATGTGTAAGCCCTAAATAGTAAAAATAGGCAAGATTGAAATATCAAATAATATCATTTTCAAAGATTTAAAGCCAAATAGTAGGATAGTTTGGGAAGTCACTGAGGTTTTTCTCAGATCTGTGACATCTCATTATATTTGTTCACACTAGCCGCTACATATAATTTGAGATATATGTTCTGGCAAAATTAAGGAGATTAAAAATACAAGTAATTGCGGGTCGGTTCAAACCTCTAAGTGATATTATTCCTCATTCATCCACTCCCAACCCCTCAACATTAAAGAATACATTCCACAATAATAGGAAACATTGTATGAGCACTCATTATCATTTTGTGTAGAAACTTGACATTGCAAACTTTATTTCTTAAAGGAAACTCCCGAAGTTTACTTAGAGATTAAACAAAAAAAACATTTGCATTGAAATCCAAGTCTTACAACAAAAACATAAACACAAATACAAAGTACCTTATGTCTTCTCCCCAAGTAAACTTCTGGAGTTTCTTTTAAGCAATCTCCAAACTTCTTCACACCAAAACACACTCACACTTACACTTGAACACAAAATATGAAAAACCTAATTTACTATTGCCGCCCAACTGAAGTTTTGAGGCTCCTAAAGGTCTCTAAATTTAGCCAAATCCTTCTTATTAAATAAAAAATAGAAAATAATCAAGCGTTGCTTCAAGCACCCCTCCAAAATTTTGTCAAAGTTAATGTATCTTCTCGAAAAGTAGTTACTAGTGCTACAGTGTCACTCTAAGGTGCTATAGCACCCTTCTCGCTCATTTGTGGCGCTATGGTACTAAGGGGTGGCGCTATAGTGCCACACAAATATCTTTAGTTTTGCTCTATTTTTTCCTAATTTTCTTTAAAAGTTCATTCCATGTGCATGAAACCAAAAACATGCAAAATATCTTCTTTTAAAGTGCAATATCATTAAAAATGTACATAAAATGCTTATAAAATATGCACTAAAAACAAGTTATTTTAGGTGGATCAAAGTTTTGAATCAAAGGTGGATGGTGTAGATGTCTCAAGAGTTGAGGAAGACTAGAACAAGGGACTCGTTGGAACTACTGATTCTGTTTACCCAGATTCCTCTTCTTCTGGTTATACACCCTTAAGTCACCTTTAGCCCGAATCCCACCACCCCTTTGGTTAATCTCCTCGACTTTTGTCTCCTCAGTTGATTCATCCCACATTGCAGAACATGGCATTACTTCCACTTGCACCACTCAATTATCAATATTATTAACTCTCTCATGCCTCATATCTCTAGTATTTGTTGAGTTACTAAAGGGTGAACTTACCTTCAGGGTGTAGTATGGTTCAAACTCTCTAAATGACACTTACATACTCACAATGAGTCTCTTCTCAATTGAGTTTCAGTATACATAACCCTTCTGAGTAGCAAAATAACAAATGAATACACATTTCACAGCTTTGGCACCTTCTCTACAGATGGCCCATTATCTTTAACAAAGCACACATACAAATACCTTAAATGGAAGGATCTCACTATTGCCTCTGTTCAACATCTGACCAGGAGACTTCCACTCTAGCACTCTAGAGGGCATCCTATTAATGAATTGAGCGGTTGTCAACTTATTTGTCTGCATAAGTTTTGTGGGACATTCATTGTCATCATCATGCTCTAGGCTACCTTTAGAAGATGTTGATTCTTTCTCTCTGCTACTCCATTATGTACTGGTGTATATGGGCACGTGGTTTGGTGTTATATCCCTTGAGTTGGCATGTTGTCCCTAAATGCTTTATTAATATATTTTGTCACATTATCATATCTCAATGCCTTCACAACTGCACTATATTGGGTTTGGATTGCCTTATGAACTATTTTATCTATTATATCCAGCTAACAAAAGAAAAACAATCAATAAACATAGCAAAATACTGATAAACATTCATAAAACTAGTAGGATAAGATTCTCATACATTATAATGTATCAAATCAAACATGTTCGAGCTCATATTATGAAAACTGACTTAAGAGCACTTAGTGAGCTTGCCAAACTCACAAGCATCACACATCAATTTTTCCTTATTTGCCTTTTCATACATAGAGGGATACAAACAACTTAGTAAACTAAGACTAGAATGTCATATGAGTCTGTGATGCAGCAGTAACACATCCTCGACGTTCCTCCCAGATTCACCTACTACAACACTCTCCACCATGGATGTCAGAGCTGAGTTCATTCCCTCTCAGTCGAAATACTAGATTTCGCTATGCCATGATCCATTCCCAAGTGTCTGGCTCGTCCCTTTCTCTTAGAAAATCACCTAAGGAATATCAAAATAAACAATGCATTTTAATTCAAAAATAATGGCACTAGTGGATAAGAGGTTTATTCGAAAAGGAGCATACAAAACAATGGACAAAATCATATGATTGGTACATCTCATTGTACCCTTACAAACTACATGTTGTGTCATACCATCAGCATTTTGTATACTCTCCTGTACTACTAGATGAGTATATATAGAGAACTCTCCAGCAATATCTATCACGTGATGAGAAGCACCATAATCTATGATCCATTCTGATGATTATGTGGTAGAATTAGAGGCAAACATAAGTGTATCAACAGTACCTTTGTTGAAACGAACAAAAGTGGCAATGTAACCCCTTGATGTGGATGGATTTGAAACATCCTCAACTCAATCTTCTGCTACTTTCTACTTCCTTTTCAACAACTTTAGGCACTCATGATCCTCACTAGGCAAAATCACACCTATCTCTCCTTCGTCCTCTATTACCATTAGATTTGCCCAGTAGCCCCCTCTTCTAGTTTTCAGACCACGAGGACCTCCACTTGTCTCTCTCTCCTTATGTGGCATAGGATAGGCCATGCTCAGATGACAAACTTCACCATAATTATAGCACTTAGGAGTATCTCCCGAGATACTTAATGTACATGGGATCGTAGCAGCCAATGCTTATCGAGCACCCAAAAAGCCATTCGGCTCAGAGTGTAGCGTCATGAGAGTCTCCTTTGTATCATCGCAACATTGGCTTCATCTAGTTTAGGAATAGCCGCCTCAACTAAGTGAGCCAATCTCCTCTGATCAAAGAACTGGTTTAGATGAGCCAGAAACTGCCTAGTTCTCATCGGTACAAGGACCTCTCACTTCTTATACCCCGGATCACCACATCTTGACATAGGTGAGAAGTGATCAAGATATTGCGACAGCCGCTCCAAGTCTATAGAGTACTCCCGAATTGATCAATCACCCCCACTGTCTCAATCACACGCTAAATCTAAAGCACCCTCATGCGGTTCTCAACTCTAGCATAAATCTTCTTCAGCTTTGCCCAAATGTCGCTCATCATTGGAATGTAATCCACTGATGAGGAAATCGATGGAACCATCAAGTTGAGCAGACAAGTGTAAAGTAAGGCATGTGTGGTCCTGCACTCACCCCTCTCAGCACTTTCACTCTCTAGCTCGACACCTATCAGGTATCCTTCTAGCCTCTTCCTACTAGAGCATCCTTGATCCGACATGAACAAATCAAATACGTGGTCGGTCAATCGAGCATCAAATCCACAAGAGGGAGATCTTGCTTCACCTGCATCGGAGCATGTGCTGAAGTAGTGGATCTCATCAAGACGGTAGCTCCTTGTATGATTCGGACCAAGTCCTTTTAAACTTTGGGATCTATCTTATGCAGCAGTTCCAAATCCTTTCCTCCTTCACCATCTCCTTCTATTGACATCCTCACAGAAATTATTCTGACGTTCCTCTGAACCAAAAAATAAAATAAAAAAAGCTTCGCCTCGCCTGTTTTTTCCTACCTAGAGCTCAAATCGCCGCAGAACACTCCCGAAACTGACACCCACTTCTCTGGTTTTGCAACAAAGAACTCCAACTCCTATCGCACAAATGGATTGCATCAGTCACCTATTCCACGCATGAAGATCTCCTCGATGCCTTTGCAGTTGGGCGACTGTAGCACAGCGATCCCATTGCATCCTCCCTGCACAAATCCAACCGCAAATGTATCTTTCCCATTTCATTAACACTTGAGCTTATATAGAACCTTACAACATTTACAAATAAATCTCTAAACTTCTTCTATTTATAAATAGAACCCCATATTAGGTACAAATCTCAACAATAATTCATCACTATGGGTTTCTCCATGATTGAAGTGTTGTCGTTATGGTTTCCGATAGTGGGTTGTCTCCACTGCAAAAAATTCTCATATCCCTTTGCACTTCCATGACAACTTCCTAAAATGCATTATTTAAAGATTGCATTTTGTGGGTGAGAGCGAATAATGCCTCCCAGATGATTTCCTATTCAAGATCTATACCGTTGATAGTTTGTTTGTTGGCTTCTGCCATGACTCTGATACCACTCTGCCCAGGACAGATGGGATTTACACAAAAAGGAAATCAAGGAAGAGGAAGAAATAAAAATGGGGGAGGATGGAAGAAGAGATGGCAAAAAGCAGCAAATTATTTATGTTGGGATTCTACACAGGAATTACATATCAATTAGTTGTCCCACCTTTCACTATTCTTATATATACTCACAACCAAAATTCTGCTGATACGGCCTTAATAATAAATTAGAAATTTGTAAAGGATATATAAGTCCTTCCTGGAAGTAAAAATCTCAAAACAGCCCTCTTGCTAAAATCTCCGCAACCTCTACACTAGACCAGTTACTGATTCCATGCAAATTTTGTTACACTTTACGCTTGTACCGTACTTGTAGGACGTTGATGGAAAATAAAATAAAATTTTCTAAAATATCGAATCGAACACTCATCTTTAACAAGGGAAAAAAAAATTTTCCGTTAACCAATCATCAAAATCTCCGGCAAAAAGAAAAATAAATCAAATATGAACGGGGAGGATGCACTTCCTTTTTACTATTTGAACATCAAATAAATGATATTAGAACAAGAACCACACAACTGAACACATGAGATCAGTCGTTACAAAAACATTCAGGTTTATAAGAATGATTATTTAAAAAATGATATAAATATAAAGAGAACATCGAATTTGGTCGAGCCAAGCAATAGAGAAATGAATGATTCCCTCACTACTAGAACAGGCACCACTACAAAGCCCAGAATTTGAAGTCACTGGAACACGGAAGGTAGCTTTATTTGCACGAGGAATTTCCAAAGAGAAACAGCAGTGAGTAACCTACTCTGGTTTCTTCACCTTTGTAGCCACCTTCCTCTTCATCCGGCTGAAGGGACCTACTGTTCGATCCATGATATACATGTAGATCACCTGGCTCCATGATTTGTATGATTTCAAATTCATGTAGTATTCCGGAGCTATCTCCTTTAATTTATGAAGCCTGCTTCCTGAAATCCTGGGGAAATCATGGTGCTCATTATGGTAACCAACACTCCATGTCATAACATTCAGTGGACCATAGTAAGAATAGGTCTCCTGTTCAGGATGGAACACATAATGCTCAGAAATGAAGTGACCAGCCATTGGATGCATTCCTCCACCAACAAAAGTTGATAGAATAAGATAGGCAAGAGACTTCCATCCCCAGAAATATACCATGTAGAAGTCCAGGGAAAACTGGATTAGCAGGTTGATGAACTCCCACATTCCTGGTTTCTTTGGCTTGATGAAGAGGGGCCGGAATGCATAGAAGAAAAGTTGGAAGATGACCCAAATGGATTTGGTGATGGCATTCTTAACAGCATGAGCTTCGGTGTAGCTAGGGATGTCCATGTCAATTCCATCGACTCCTTGGAAACGGTGGTGCTCAAGGTGGTACTTTTGAAATGTGACGGACATTGGAACGCCAATGGGGAGATTGGCAAAAATCCCCAGCCAGCGATTGAGGCTTGGTGTTGAGAAGGCTAGGTTATGGCTAAGCTCATGAATGGCAAGGAAGAGATTGTGGTTGAGGAAGGAGCCAAAGAAGTATGCGACTGTGAGTATCTTTAGCCAACCATCATTGCAAAGGCAGGTTGCAGTCCATAGCTGAATGAGAACAGCAGCACTAATCTGCACTCAAGAACAATGGATGTTATTACATGATCATCAATCAAGTTTTGCTTCTTAACTTCATAGCAGGAAACAAAGACAGCTTGTCATTATCATCAACATTATCACATCCCATTCCTTCTCAGATCATGGTTTCTTGATTTATCTACTCTGTGTTGCAAGTGTTTTAAGCTTAGTTTGTGCATTTTTTCCTTAATTTTTAATGACATTATGTCCATTTCATTTTTTTCTAAAATCCCCTTTCTCTACCTTTCACATTAAGCCTACCTACCAAACTTACCAGTGCAACAAAGGTATTACATCATTACAGAGTATGAGGGAGAGGTTAAAAGCCCACACTGCCGAGTTGTTCAAAATGAAAATAATAATAATAATCAGCTCTTAACATATACATACTCTTATGGCTCAAGACTACCAATGAAACCAATATCAGGTGCCACCACTTACAACTTTCTGATATAGCCTAACCTTATTCTTCAAAATTTTACCGCTTAAGCTGAATAGTCTCATTGCGACACAAAACCAAGATATTAATAATTGTTTCCCAAAACTTGAATTCTAATTAATGTTTCAAAATTTACCTCACTTTTTATAAAACCTCATAACATAATATTTTTTAAGCACTTGTTTATTTTTATCATCCAACATTAACAGCAAGTAATAATTGTTTGCCAAAACTTGAATTCTAATTAATGTTTCAAAATTCACCTCACTTTTTGTAATACCTGATAACATAATATTTTTTCAGCACGTATTTATTCTTATCATCCAACACTAACTGCATGTTATCTTTCAATAATTGTTTCATTTATTTATATAATCATCAAACATTAACTACAAGTTATATTCCAACGACTGTTTCTTTTATTTATTTTAATCATCCAAAATTAACTGCAAGTTATGTTCCAGTAGTAAATACAGGTCCTTACAAATAAATTGTTTTATCATTTGATATTTGACTAGCCTCTTTATTTCAATAACTAGTGTTAGGGCTTATCGCAGAATATGACAATGGAGAAATAGGAGAATGAGAAGTTTGATGATTCATAGAAATATAGGGATTGGTAAAAAAAGAGGCATGTTTTGCAAGTTTGGCAAGGACTTATACAAGCACTAAAAAGTTATTAAAAGAAGCATGAGACTATTATTATGTAGAAGAAGAAATGAATTAAAAAGGTCTCTCGGGGATCCATCTATCTTTGGCAAAGGACTTGGCAAATATCTATAAATGTTGCATAATTGTGGCTCATATTGGATTCTTTGTATATGCCAAAAAATCTATCAAAAAAATTTCATCCAAAGAAGATGCACTTTCTTTGGATCTTTCTCTTAAAAGCGTTTTTATTACTGCATATTATATGGAGATACTATCTTGGAGAATGCTAAGAATTTATTACTTTAAGATGTTATCGTTAAGTTAGTGGGTGTGATATAATAAGAAGGTTGAGTGATTATTGGTTTGAGAAACTAAATAAAAAAGGGTCTAATTAAAAGCATTGAAAAAGGGTTTCATGGAGTTACAAGGATGTGGCCTACATATCAAGAAAAACTATCAAACTTTGAAGAATGAGCAATATTCCAGCATATGCATTGAGAATAGAAGTCATCACAAGCTGCCATAACGCAAAGTGTTGAAGTGCAGATTTATGTAATATTATTTTAACAAGAACAAACTTAGATGGAGTGAATAGTTGATTTTAGACTAAGCCTGCTCGTATAAATTGTATTTATATAAAGTTATTTTCCACTTATAAGCCATGTACTTGTGTTATATTTACATGGGAAAACAACAGCGCGCACAACAGCTAGTTTTGACATAGTGAAGTCAAGGAAACATGCTAGTGTGACTAAAACATTAGCATCAACCATGTACCAAATCTCAAGAAGAATCTAGTATCTTAGAGTGCACTCAATGACGTAATAAGAAATATCTTACAAGATGTTGAATGTCATAAAATTTATAAAGATGCTTGGGTTGTTAAAAAGGCTTCGAAGCTCCATGAATTATATGATTTGTACAGTGAAAATTAGAGTAGAGCTTCTTCATCGGCATCATCTATATTCAAGCATCATGGTTCAAGGAAGCACAAAAATTTTGCTTTATATAGAAAGGGTTCCAAAAAGATGACCAAGCAAAGGTGAAGTTCATTAAAGGTGATTATGTGAATTGAACTCAAGTTATACAGTTTGTCCCATGCCAGGTTGTACCATTACGGCATTCAAGTAAAGGAAATAACCATTTTGAGGGTTCCTAAATGCAGTGGTCAATGCACTTTTAATATCATAGGGGCTACCTCAACATGCTAGTCATTTTTGATTTATTTAAGTTTTGCAATGCTAAAACATTTGTCTAACTTAACGAGCTTAGTTTGGAGAGGAGTCATAAAGAAAATCTAAAATATATTACCAAAATAATGAGTCGAGATAAAGAATCATCAAAATTGTCACATATAGTTGAATGCAATGACTTAATCCCAAGAGTAATTATTTATAAGTAAGAAACAACAATGAATTTGGCAAATTTATAACAATCATGCTAATCAAATCAAATTTAAAATGGCGGCTATGAGATACCATTATTAAAATGGTACTCATTTCGTTTGTTATCTTACGGTAGCATTATTCAGAACAATGTCAAAATTTTCAATAAGAGACAGTGCATCGTTTCAAAGTGTGTGCAACCAAAGTTTACTTGGATGGATCCATGCATCTAAATATCTCATGCACAATAGGTAGAAGAGCAACTGTGGTGTTGTGTTTAAGGAGCATTCAGATGTAGATCTTTCATGGTATGTTTTTTATCTCCATATTTATTATACCTGTGTCTTTTTTCCCGGGTGAAATGAGGGCAATGCCAAACTTTTTCAAGTTTGAAAGAAATTGCATGTGAGACAAGAAACAAATTACATTTTTAGAGAAAGAAAACAAAAAAACCAACAACGGAGATACAAATGTAAGAAAAGAGAAGTGTTGAAAAAAAAAAATGTAATAATATAGAGCTCAAAGGTATCCGTACACAGAGAATGGATCCTCAACTATCTAGAAAATAGATATTGTAGTAGCAACCGCAACATAGACTCAAAAGAGTAGAATAAAGAAATTTTCATTCTAGCTAAGTAATACTGCAAATAGTAATAGCTAAACAATTCTCCATATGACCTAATAAGATTGTTGTTCGGTAATAATATACCACTGAAAATCAGTAAATAGGGAGTGCAGAATGTCCAACAGTAATATCAGTAGGAAATTCAGAGACAAAACAATCCAAATATTCCGATAGCGCTGGTTGAGCCACTTGAAGTTTGGATAACATCATTACTCTTCCAAAAAAGAAATGTATGCACAAAAAATCCAACAGAACTTTCATAACAGCAATTCAGAAAAACGAGCAAGGTATCAGTGTACTCCTTAGTATCAAAAAGATTCCACACAAAACAGATATGAAGACCAAAAAGAGTATATGCATAAAAGCAGGTGTACTATCGGTTCAAAAGTACCATTAAGCAAACCAAATATAGCATAGGAGCATACTCAGATAAGGTCATATGCCCTAATAAAGCTTTTTTAGAGATACATCATAGAGATCAACAAGCCTTATGGGCTCCGAAGATCCATATCCAAAGATCAAGTTATTTTCGAATTAAGCCCACCTATTGAAGTGGCCAAGCTGAGCCCACCTGCCGAAGTGAGACGAACCACAAAGAAAGACCATCATTACGATCGCCTCACAACTGCATCACAATCTTTTCACCAAGATACTGCAGACAAGAGCAGTACCGTACGAAATATAGTTTTATATTTCTTTCTCGTGTATAAAAGGAGATCAAGAGGCTCTTAAAGGATCCGCCTTTCAAGACCTAGAAAAGGGTTTCACTCTCTCTCTCACTCTGTATCTCTAATGCGTTATGGGGGAAGAAGACATCCTTTAAACCATTCCCGACAGCACGGGGATCCTAAAACAATATTAAGTGATATACACAAGCTCTAACAAAACATTCATCATCTTCTCTTATTCCTTCCTCCTAAAGATAGGGTTATTACAAGGTTGTATGAACTCATAAATAATACGGGACCCTACATACTAAAAGGATTCAATATCCTAAAAAATGCGGTGAGTGTGAAGTTCGTACTCAAACTCTGCAAGGGATCCTTCTAGCATAAGGAAGAAAAGATAATCGAACGCACCAAAGAATTCATGACACAACATAACAAATCTTTTTTTCACTAGAGAGCTCAACGAATTGTTGTAATATGAGTCTTGGTCATCTTCAGAGATCAGTAACTTTCATCCTCCCTAGGAGTCATTGGAAGGCTACACCGTATTTCCCTTTGAACTGCAGCAACTTAGTAGGGACTTTCCACCCACTATTATTGTGAATGAAGTATAATCGCTTCTTTTAGTCACAAGGCATTTTACTTGCGGTGTCAGAGAACGTCAAGCTTGTCTGAGAAAGTCACCATATCGTTGTCCTACAACTCGGAGTAAAAATATGTCGAAACAGATTGGCAAACCAGAACAGTCCCTCTAGGCGAACATACATGATGACGGTCATTACATTCGTAATAAAGTTAGATTTGACCTGAGTCAGCACAAATCCAAAAAATTTTAGAATATCTCCCACCTCATTTCACAAAGGAAACCTAAAACCTGAATGAAACAGATAAAAAAAACACATCTCATGTTGGTGAATGGTATTGGGATCCTCATCCCTCCTTGCTAGCCTTAAGATACTTGAATTGTTGAACATGTGTAGAGATTGTGCTTCAGCAAAAATCTTTTCATCCACGTGAGTTCCTTTTGAGAGCTTGGTTGTCAAGAAAGATCTCTTTGAACTGGCTTCCATAGTCATTAGGAAGCTATCATGAGAGAGTAAAAAAAGAAATGCTCGAGCAAGCAAGCGAGAGACACAGCGGTGCCTCTACTCTCTTTACAAAAGTATAAATGTAAAATAATCTCGCATTGATACCCACAACTGGAATATCAAGAGATATGGACCCCA